GGGATATATATATATAGAGTATACCCTGACTTCAGAAAAATTTCGTTAAAGAACTTTAAATGGAACTTAAATTATGTTATTGTATTTTGCACATATAAAACAGTATGCATGAGTGGTCACTGGTCTTGAAAACAGTAGTTCCATTATCTCATCTCTGTTTGATTTTTTTTTTAATAGAAGAAAGAAAAATTGAACTGTCTCTACTAGATGACTGCTGTAATGATCAAGAGGTAAATGAAGTTTCCTGACTTTCAGGTTAATAACTAGAATTTGGTATATTTTAATCTTTTTCTAATTTTTTTGCTTTGGTGATGCGGAACAGAAAGCTGAATAACACTTCGGACAGGCCAAATTATTTGATCTAATATAAACATCAATTTAAAACTTTTTAGCAATTTTAGCTCGAAAATTTCAAGCTGAAAATTAATAACGTCTTGCAGTCGATAGGATTTCGAATCCCAAGACATAAGTGTTGTGTATTCTTTCATTCATAATACCGCCTCACAAAAAGAGGGCTTCTTAAGCTCACTTTCCATACAAATTGTTTTAAATGGTAGATAAAACACTTTTGCAGAAATATATAATTGTTCGTTTTGTTGAAAAATATTGAAATTACAACATAAAATATTAATCAAATTATAATAAAGCTTACTGTTATAAGCAAAGCAAAATAACAATTGAAAATATTTTATCATCAAACAATAACGAGCTGATACTTTTTATCCATTTTTAGCATGATAAGAAAAATGTTAAGAAATCATGGCAGTCAACAAGTAGAAATCTATCGAACGTTTTCAATTTAGTGTATCTTACAGTTATTAATAGCGCCGTGTAATATCATACTACCAAGATTAAAATTAATTTTTCAACAGGTTAATTTCTTTTAATGTCCATACTAATTTTTATTCTTTTTTTTTTATTTAATGATTCTCCATGATTAGAGATAACTTGAAAGATTAAAATATTATTTTCATTGAAGAAATAGTTTATACATATAAAGTGGGGCTCCACCCCTCTGCACGCTTTGCGTGCCAACCCCTCAAGAATATTTAAAACTTGAAAATTTAATAACAACATATGATTTAAATTTATTATCTACAAAATGATGGACTTGTTAGATGAATAATCAATTGTTACTCAGTTGGCTCACTTTTCTTAATGATGCTTCTTATGTTCCAGTATACTTAAAATATACATACAGTATATAGTTTGGTATCATAACATTTTATTATATGATAAATACAACTTATATTTGGAGTTAAAGTATTTGGAGATAAAAATTTTATTAGAAAAGCTCTTCTGTAAAAGGAAAATTAACATATCTGCGTCATCGTATAAATTAAAATATTTTGTAACGTGAGCATTTCTATTTTTTATAATGTAAGAATTTAAAAATACAGTATCTTAATATATAAGTTTTTTTTATGCTTTTACTTGCTCAAATTCTTATTTTCAAGATGCATTCTATATTTTTAAGAAATCTAATTTTTTAGAGAAAAATAAAAAATTATAAGGAATACACTTTGACATATAAATGATAAAATTGTTAACTATAAAAAAATTTTTACATACAATGTTTTCAATGTTTGCTTGGTTCTCCAAATCATTTTGCATAAATATATTCTCAGGACTTTCACATCTTGATACCAATACGTTTAGTTGACCATGACAAAACAAAGGTCTTTTCTAGTAAAATCCCTATTAGTGAAAACATTGATCTCGCAATTTATTGACTGTCATGGAAAAAGCTAGAACTATTGTCAATTATTTTGTCTGTAAAATAAACGGTAAAGATTAATTATAACCGGTATTTACCGTAATTTTTGGAATA